GACATCTGATTTAAAAAAACTGGACATCTTTGGCAGGAAGGTGTATTCATCAGCTACACTTCTCCTGTGTATTGCAAACTATGCCGCCCTATTATCAAATCACAACTTTGATAACTACTCCAAAGTGGCAGATCTCCTGCAATATCTCCCTGATTTAAAGAGGCCATTTTTAAAATCTGTGGTGCATGAGGGTTATGCGTCATTGCAAGCAGGATTGTAGATTGCCTTAGACATGGTGGACACAGCTGTGCAAACAACCGCAATGGCGAAAGCGATGAGAAGGTCATCCAGGCTTGCTTCGGCCACAGTCCCTAAAGAGCTACAGAACAAGGTGGAGGACCTCCCGTTTGAAAACAAAAAGTTCTTCGTGGACAAAACAGATGAAGACTTCCATTGAGGGAAAGATTCTCAGATGACACTCCTTACCCTTGGCATGTACACGCCCCCCTTTAGGCGTAAGAGGTACTACCCATATCAAATAAGGTACGATTATCCTTTTCAGAGGAAACAACGAGTCTCAATTCCGTTCAAGGCAGCGCCCACAACGCAGGTGCCCCCAGCCTCCCCATACAACCAATCTGGCGACCACAAAGCGGCAGGTTTGACTTCTCAGTCGAGGGTGTGAAACCAGTCCTTCCTACAGAGGCAAAACATCATGTCACCTACCTCTTCCACCACTGCCTACGACCGTTCCAAGATCAATGGACAGCTAAAACATCAAACCAACGGGTGTTACAGCTTGTGTCATCTAGGCTCACCATCCCATTTATGTCCATTCTGCCCATGACCCCACCAACCCCGTCCCTCTTCAGTGACCCATCTCACAAGGGCCTTTTGAAACTGGAAGTCCGTCGTCTCCTGTCCATTGGTGCTATCAAGGTCGTTCCAACACAATTCCGGGGAAGAGGGTTCTAGTCTTGTTATTTTCTCCTGGAGAAGAAGTCCGGAAGGTGGAGACCCATCCTCGACCTCAGGAAATTGAATCGGCATCTCCGAAAGCAAAGATTCAAGATGGTGACCCTCTCTACCATAGTACCCTCGTTAGACAAGGACGATTGGTTTGCAGCCCTCGACCTGCATGATGCCTGTTTCCACATCACCATCCAGCCAGCCCACAGGCATTTTCTTTGTTTTGTCATCGTCGACAGTCACTTCCAGTACCGTGTGCTGCTGTTTGGCCTCGCAGCCGCTCCCAGGGTTTTCTCAAAAACTGTCTGTTGTAGCGGCACATTTACGTCACAAGGACATTATCATTTTCCCTTACCTTGACAATTGTCTCATAAAGGGTCAATCACGAGAAGAGAAATCCCGTATGATCACACTAGCCAGGCAGATCCTCAAGTCCCTCGGCTTCATTATCAATGAGTAAAAATCGACGATAGAGCCCACACAGATCATAACATTTATAGGGGTGCGACTAGATTCCATCATGGCTCAAGCTTATTTACCTCTGGAATGCTTCCAAGCAATTCAAGATCTAACCACCATCATTATGCATGTTCCTACTGTGTCAGTGCGTACTTGTCTACAACTTATGGGACATATGGCTGCCACCACTTTTGTGGTCCAGCATGCAAGACTTCATTTGCGCTGTCTTCAACATTGGCAGTTGTCGGTATATATCCCCACAAAGCACAGCATTCACAAAATAGTAACTCCGACCACTCTCATCCGCAGATCCCTACTCTGGTGGACAAAACCACAAAATCTCATGGCAGGGGTACCTTTCCACCGTCAACAACCACTGAGCCAGCTGACTACAGACGCTTCCCTCATTGGCTGGGGCACCGATATGAATGGCATGTCAGTACAAGGCAAATGGTCGACAACAGAATCCACCGTACACATAAATCTCTTAGAACTCAGGGCAGTTTTCCTCACATGCAAACACTTCCATGTCCACACTGCTGGCACAACAGTCAGGGTGCTGACAGACAACATTGCAACAAAGTATTATATAAATTGCCAGGGAGGAGCACACTCCTGATCACTCTGCACACGAGCAGTCCAGTTATGGAACTGGTGTGTCCGAAACGACATAGCCTTAATAGCATCATACTTACCTGGTACGAGCAATACAGGCAGACACGCTCAGCAGACATTTCCCGTGCAATCACGAGTGGGAGATTCATTCAGATATTCTTCAGGATGTCTTCAGTCTCTGGGGGTCTCCACAGATAGACCTGTTTGCCAGCTACGACAAGAAATGTTACCACAATTGTTCAAGAGCGGGCATCAGAAAGGGGTCCCTTGAGGATACATTACTGACTCCCTGGATCGGCCCACTACTTTATGTGTTTCTACCTACGATTCTCATACCCAGAGTACTAGAGAAGATCAATGAAGATTCAGCCTAAGTGATTCTCATAGCCCAATATGGACAAGGCAACCATGGTACCCGTTTCTCAGTCGAATGTCAATACAACCACCACATCGTCTTCCCCTCCTACCGCACCTGCTTTCTCAGAAACATGGCTGTCTGCTGCACCTGAGACCGGAAACCCTGCATCTAACAGCATGGCTTCTAGCTGGTTCAAAGCATAAAAACGTCTCTGCTCAGATCAAGTGAAAATGGTCTTATTGCATAGCAGAAGGGAATCTACGAGGAAGCCTTACCTTGCTAAATGGAGGAGATTTGTAGCCTGGTGGTCTGATAATCGGATTGATCCGTACACATCACCAATGCATCAAATCCTTGATTATGTTCTTTTTCTCGATCATACGGGTCTTGCTATTGCCACTCTGAGAGTGCACTTATCAGCAATTAGTACCTTCCACCATCCCATTGAAGGAATGTTGGTATTTACTCATCTGCTTACTGAGAGGCTGTTAAAAGGCTTGACGAACCTTAAACCCCCACGTAGACCACCACCTCCTTCCTGAGCTTGGATCTTGTGCTGGATACCTTAATGTACCCACCCTTTGAGCCAATGGCCATGGCGTCTCTCCACATGATCACCATGAAGGTTGTCTTTCTGTTGGCAATGACATCGGCACACAGGGTTAGTGAACTGGCAGCACTGATGGCAACGCCACCTTTCACCGTCTTCAATAGGCCTTCAGTGACGTTGCGTGCCCACCCTACCTTCATCTCTAAAGTTTGTTCTCAATTTCATGTTAATAAACTGATTGTTCTCCATTCATTCTACCCGAAACTGCATGCCTTTGTGCGAGAGGTGTTGCTCCACACCCTCGATGTATGTCGAGCAATTGCTTTCTACATTGACAGAACATGATGTCATGGCTCCTTCCCCACTCTGGCATGATAAATGCAGAAGTGGGGGCCAGCAAGTGTACCCCAAAGCTTTATCTACCAGGCTTTGGTATAAAACTTCCCCCAAAATCTTAAAAACCTAGATCTTGGGAACAAAACTTCCGCTGCCACCACCCAAACATTGATAAAGAAATCAGGGGGTAGATTATTTGGGAAATCTCACCCCTAAGATAAAAATCAAGGCACACAATTAACCACTGCCAGGTTAATAAAAGAAAAGAAAGAACTTTTATTATTACAACAATATTCTTGTTGCAAACATAATGACTAGATAGGGAGGTAACAAAATATACTCATGGAGAAACTCCATGGGCCTAGAACTTAGTTATAAAGAAAAGCCAAAACATCTTTTAAGCAGTGCCATCCTTACAACAATAAACCTAACGAAACTACCTAAACTTTACCCTACTTACAGAAAATGAAGAATGGTGTCTTGGAGAGAGAGAGACATGCTTGTCCCTCTCTCTAGCTGTAGAGAGCTCTCTCTCAGAGAGACAAAAGGGAGAAAGGAAAAAAACCCAAATTCCTTTGTCCCAGTTTGAAAAGTCCCACCTACATTCCTATTGGTCACTCCACCTGGCTAGGTGTAGTTAACCCCTTAATCCCCAGGCTGCTGGCTAACCCTCATAATCATGACACATGAGATTGGCGTAAAACGGATCGCTTATTAGTATCCATAGTGGACTGGTCCAAGGACAACCCCTTGTTATCTCAGCGTATCTCAAGACTGATAGTAACATGCATTACTACCTGTTACTCCATTTGCAACAAAACCCTTCATGACTTGCCGAGGGCACATTCTACCAGGGCTGTGGCCACATCAATGGCCTTCGTACGAGGGGTCTCACTACCTGATATCTGCTGAGCAGCCACATGGTCATTCAATGCTACATTTATGAGCCATTACGCAATAGCTCAATGATGGGCCGCTGACTCCACAGTGGCTTCAGCAGTACTTTCAGTCTCTGATAAACCTTCACTCTGGAGCACATCCTGAGTACTGCTATGTAGTCACCTACAGTGGAGAACCCACGGGGACCACTCGAAGAAAAAGTTACTCACCTTCCTGCAGTAACGATGGTTCTTCGAGATGTTTCCCGGGGGGGCTCCACGTCCCACCTCCTCCCAGCTCCGAAGCCTTGTTCTTTCTAGTTGCAGATAACCGAGTGGTGAGAGGAGCTGGTGGGAGCCGGGCCGTGTGCGACAGTCAAAGGGCGCGAACAGCACGAAACGCTAACTGTGCATGCGTGGCCCAACTGACTACAGCTATTGAAAGTCTCTGATCTGCGGCACGGGACAAGCCCAACACCCTATAGTGGAGCACCCATGGGGACACATCTCAAAGAACCATCATTATGGCACGAAGGTGAGTAACTTCTTATCATCTGTGTGGTCAGAGCCTATCTTCCCCAATAATCCTACTCAACTCCTATGGCAACAGAGCTCACAATTTTGTTTACTTTCTTTACTGTATGTTTTCATGATATTTCTTAACATTGACAGGGGTTCTGTGTTCTGGGAAATCCTGTTTTTTATTTCCTTCTTTTGCTTTTTTGTTTCAGGAGAGATGCTGAAACTACATCTTTATTCTTAGTGCACAAATATCAGGATTCTAATTCTCTCTGACACAAGAAGAGTCACCTAATTAGTGTTCTGTCTTAATCAGGTGGAGATGTTATTTTCAGATAAGTCAGGTGCAAAAATATCATAAAATTTTATACCAAAATGATCGTTCAAGACAGACTATTCCTTTTTATAATTTTATTTCTTTTGTAAAATGTATCGCATTGTATTACTGACATGTAACTGGTAATATTTGTAACACATCTTAAAAAGTATAAAAATTTACCATTACAAAAAAAAATTGTAAAACATCATGTGACAAAATGAAAATGCATTTCAGAGATTCTTTAAATCCAGGGTACAGAAAGCAGGTAGGAGATTTTAGCAATAATTTGCTATAGTTCATCGTGCTGATAGACATTGTATTCCTTTGCAGATATAAAGCCATCTCCATCATGGTCATTCTTCTTAAATATATCAGTTAAAATAGAATCGTGAACTGATGCATCACGTTTTTTACCATCTCTTTTAAATTCCTCCTTCAAATAATGGCTTATCTAAATGAAAAAAATAAAAATAAAACTATACTAAACATAGATAAGAGTTTATTTTTGTGAGCTCACCATGATAAGTACTAGCATATGAGCATTCATATCACCAATATAAAATGACATCTGATAAAATCTCAGAGACTTGAAACTCTAGAACAGAAGTAAACTAAAAAGAGCAAAACATTAGGAACTCTATATCAAAAATAATGTCTGGAAATGGTTATCTCCTTATCTTCTCAATATAAATTAACAGTGCATAGTAAAAATCTTCAATGAATACACACCTTCAAAGATATTTTCAAAATAAAACTGCACGTAAGTGAAATGAGTTGGTGATGTCTGATTAGTTCATAGTAAGGATGTTAAATATGGATTAATTTAGTAGTCGAGTAGTTGATGGGCACTTCTGCATTCTTCTTTGAAATGTAACAAAAGCCCCAACAGGAGCTCCTGTGTATTTCACAGTTGGAACTCCGCGTGCAGTCCGGGAGCTCTTGTGCATTTCAAAGCAGAAGCGCCCGCGCAGAGCCTGGGGTCAGCTGACCCCAGCTTCCATGGAAATGCCGTGTGGAGATCCATGCGGCATTTCAAAGCAGCAGCATTGCACAGAGCCCAGGATCAGCTGGGAACTCCCCAGCTGACTCCGGATTCTGCAGAAATGCCGCATGGAGCCCAGGGTCAGCTAGGGAGTCCCCAGCTGACCCCGGGCTTCACATGGTCCTGCTGCTTTGAAATGCAACTGCAGCGTTTCAAAGCAGAAGCGTCACATTCAGCTGGGATCAGCTGTGCAGAACTGCCCCTATGAAACGCTGCCACAGCATTTCAAAGCAGCAGTGCCACAAGGAGCCCATACCCCAGGCTCCGTGCAGTGCTGCCGCTTTGAATTACCCCCTCTTCCCTCCCCTTGCTGCCTCTATCTGATATCAAATAGAGGTAGCAAGGGAGGGGAGGAGCAACTAGTTCTTAACATTCTTAGTTCATAGTGGGCAAATATCTCTATCACAAAAACATAATTGGCACTCTTGATGGCCGTTGCACTGGAGAGGACAAGAATTTAGTGGAGGAAGAATGTGAATTAACCTTTTAAAATATACTAATAGTCCCCACACATTTCAATACACTAATTTCCCCAAATGGGAGACATTAGACACTGCCTGAGAGTGAAACAAACATTGCATCCTTGTAAATCTGGGACACAGCCTGCACACATCAAAGTGATAAGTAAAAGGTGGAATCAAAGGTAATGTATATAGGAATATGCATCCTTTGGTTTCTTCCAAGTCAGTTACATTACCTCATCTCGTGAGAGTTTCTTGTCACTGTCCATGTCTATTTGAGTAAATGCTTCGACACTGCGTGGTCCTTTATTCACTGCATACAGTTCAATGTCAAAGATCAGCGTTGCATTAGGTGGAATCTTGCCTTGTGCTAAGAATACAACACAAATATTGTAGTAGTCACACTGGTCAAAGCTCATGCTACTGGTACATATAAAGAACATTATTTCTATTTATCTATTATGAATAGGTTAATTCTACAATATTCCAACATATGTGATACCCAAATAATCTGACCTCTTGCTTTAAATAATATACTGTTAAAGTCATTCTTTAGGACTCCTTCCTAACATACTCTTGGCCTGGAACAATCCTTTCCCCTCACTGAACCCAGGACAACTCTCCTTACCGTTGTCTTCCGGGAGATATTGTCTAGTGGCCTGTTCTTTGGGCTCTACAGCTGGATGGATCCGTATTCATTAGGAGTCTCAACCCTAAAGATCCTCATACTGCAATCTTGGAAAATGCTCTTTGCCACTTTTGCGCTGGCAGTTGAAAGCTGAGGGAGAGTCACTCTAGGATTTACTTAGCTCCCAAGGTCTCTGAGCTCATCTCACTACTAGGAGGTACACGTATGGGGTGGGTTCTAATATTCCTGTGTCAAAGTATCTTCTGGTACCAAAGATGTAAAGGAAATGTTAAATACAAAGGTGAGCTACTGTATTATGCTTTCTAAAAGCAAGAAACTGAAATGGTAAACAAGAGTGGATCAACAAAGTCTAAAAAGTCATCCCAAAACATGCATTTGGTAAACAATGCAACATGCAGTTAGTGTATAAACATACAGCTGGACCCTAATTATATGCTGGCTCACCTAAAGCTATTACATAGGATAGTTTATCATCAGAATTTATTTTTGAATTTTTATATATATACACACACATATATATCCTATTAAATCTGAAGATTAAAATGTAAATCATCTTGCTTCTTTAAGAGTACCAGGCAAACAAACTGGTATATCTCATTTGAGATATCTATAACAAAAAAAATAGGGTATTAAGAGGTTTCAATTTTGAATAGAAAAATGTGTTTTGTTAAATTGCTTCAATTGTGTAAATATCTGAGATATAGTATATAGCATATATTTTCAACAAGTTTATCTAACATTTATTAATATAAGTTAACAAAGTAGACTTTCATGCAAGTGGTTTTAAGAATTATACATACCAGAGAAAAAGTCATGTAAAAACCTAAAAAGCCACATGCATCCTGACTATGAATTTTAGACAGTTGTCTTCCCCAGCATGCAGCAATACGTTGAGACAGGACAAGCATGTTGCAGGAAAAAGTCTTCCTTCAAGCACTGCCTATAATAAACAGTTACACTAAGGTTAGATTTTAATAATGCACTTTTTGTTTGATATCAATGACTTTTCTTGTTGCTCCAAGGCAAGTTTTGTTCATTTCTTGTTATGGTTAATGAGACAAATTCATTTCTGAGGTAATGGTAATGCCAGAATCAAGGACAAAGTTGGCTCATGGAATTTTGACATGAACAAAGGATCAAACTATGATCACAGAACAGCAGGAACATGTTTAGTCAATGTTCCATGTTTCCAGACAAATCTTGATTACAAAGAACTAAATTGTGATATTGTCCATTCAGCTGAAACATTTCACAATAAGATTTTAAGTCTTGAATCAGCCCATTAGTCTCATATATTGTACTTGAATGTCAATTCTTCAGATAGGGTTTCCTGTGCTCCATCCAGTGGGGTAGTGGTAACTACAATAATAATTATTCTTAGTTATGAAACTTCTCAATAAACTAGCCCCAAGACAGTTGTCCAAACAATGTTTGGTCAAACAAATTCAGAGCGGCATGTAGTGACCCTCATATTGCTGTGATTGGAGGAAATCTGGGCCGCACCCACATCTTAGAAATTAAACGTGAATGTAATGCAACAGGAATAAGAATGTACAAAAACTGGATGAAAATAATATTAATAATGAAAAATTTGTGGTGAACTCAAAAGGCCTTTCTTGAAACCTCAAAAATAGATAACTAAATCCTCCAAATTTCTATAAACAATAGCTTTCTGAAAATCTGATTTTTACTCTAGCTGTCAAGTGAACCATATTTATTTTCTCCCACAAAAGAAAGATTTCTTCATAAAGTTTCATCTAAAGACCACCAAAAAATAACTATCAATTTACCCCTCCTGTATGTCTGCTCCAATCCTAAATGATCGTGTCTCCAACAAATAGTTACAATAAATTTTATATTTGGTTCCTCTGACTGCAAAAAGAAGTATCACAGCCTCAGGTTATCAAGTTGGAATATAATTATAAGCAGGGCTTGACAAATGGCGGCAAAAGCCACTCGCCAGCCCCACACTGCGCATGCACAAGAGCCGCATTGCGCATGTGCACGCTGCCGGTAAACGGGGCGTGTGGATGAAATCTACTTGCCACGGGTGAGTAGATTCTATAGTTTGTCTAGCCCTGATTATAAGAACTAAAATTACGAGCTCTTCTGCTCTCTAAGCTCTCTTTGTTGTTAGCACAGAATACTTCATTCACATGAAATAAGCCACCGATGAAAGCAGCACCACGGTTGCTTGGAGTCAATGTAAGTGCTGTACTGCACTTGCTGGAGGGTGAGATTTATAGTGCTGGAAATTAAAGAGCTGTAAGCATGTTGTGTATGGAAGGCTGGTTTGAAGAGCTGAATTCCTTTTGAAAGCTTTTCAAATGTGGTTTTTGTTTTAAAAAAATAAGTAATGTAAGCAAACAGGATCAGGGACTGGCAGCACAATGGAGCCTCAAAAAATGGCAACAAAAAGAGGATCTTTCTCTTTCTGGCACAGGGTAGGTGCTGTAAACAGCTGTGGTGTCTCTATCACAGAAGTTCCTTGCTAGCAAAAGGGAGAGAGCTTGTTAGTATGGACCTGTTATTTCCAAGTCCAATTCTGTCAAAGCTTACTCATGTGTGTTTGCCTTGTATGAGCAACCCCATTATATTCCTTGGGTATGTCGACCCTACAGAGTTTTGTCGGAAAAACGTCCATTTTTCCAACAAAATTTGAGGAATGTCCACACTGCAATTGTATTCTCCCGCAAGAAAATCAAAAGAACAGGCAGGTTTTTCCAGCATTAGTAATCCTCATTCTCAGGGCTTGCCAAGCGGCGGCGAGCCCTGCTCACCAGCCGTGCAGTTCTGCGCATGCGCAGATCGTTCTGTGCATGTGCAGATTGCTCTGCGCTGGCTCTTCCGGGTTGTAATCTACTCACCAGCCACGGGTGAGTAGATTACATTATTTGTCGAGCTCTGCTCATTCTATGAAGAAGAAGCCTTTTTACAGAAAAGCTCTTTTGCAAAAGGTGTGTGTAGAAGGGGAAGAGGGAGTTTTTTCGGAAGAAGAGGAAAGAGGAAAAAGCACAGGTGCTCTGGTGGCCATTCTGTTGATAGCAATCACAGCTTACATGTGAGAAAGCGTCCATTTAGTCTCGATGCTCTCTTTTGAAAAAGCATATTGCTTTATCGATGCGCTTTTGCAGTGTGGACGCTCTTTTTCGGAATAAGTTTTTTTGGAAGATCTCTTCCGAAAAAAGCATCTACTGAAAGAAGCCTGCAGTCCAGATGTAGCACTTGAGACTATGTTTGAGGGTAAAAACTCCTATAAGTAAGAATTTTCAGGACCAGGCACTAATTTACTATCACATAAACCCTCTGTCAAAAAAGCTTCCATGGTCAATACTCAAGTAAATTATCTGACAACATAAAGACAGAAAACAGATGTAAATTTTATATTTTTTTTACCATAGCCTTGGTTTCCATATGCCAGTGATGGTGGAATTGTCACTTTCCGTTTTTCTCCAGGACACATACCCATCATAGCAATATCTAATCCTTTTATGACTTGTCCAACACCCAAAACAAACCATTTCGGGTGGCCTTGATTTTGTGTGCGACTACAAAAATAATAAAAAACCTTTAGGGAGTAGACAGCAATAAAGTAAGTGTTTCAAACATTTGTTAAAAATCACTCTCACATTTAAATATAGTACCATCTTTGAAAAGTGACATTATTTAAAAACATGTTTTAAAAGTCACAGTAAAGTGTAAACTAAAAAGTAAACAGCTGGTGATTTTTATTGAAGCATTCACTTTTTTTTGTATAACTGATTGGTTATAAATACTAAATTGCATACACAGGCAGGTTCCCATTGACTTGTTAAAGAACAAGTATAATTTGATTGCCATAATTGCATTTTATTGCAGAAAGCAGTCGGGCACTGGGCAAGGAAACTAGGAATTTTCCTTAGCAGAATTTTTCCAAATCACACAATTGGGGGGAGAACCTCTTCCTCCCCTGCAACAAATACATAGGATGAGCTACAAAACAGTGAGTTACAGAGGATATGTAGGATGACAAGGCCACCCAACAGGTGGCTTTGTCCCTCAACTCTAGAGGTGACTAATCCTTTAGCTCCTAAATACTATTTCTCCATTGTAGTCACAACACCAAGTGTTCCACTAGCATGTAATGCCACCCCTCTGTCCTATTTTATAAACCTATGTGAAAAGAACATTGTTAAAGCTGTGAAAACAAGCACGCAAACAAGGACTGTCAATAACTTGCAATGTAAATTCCGTTGCACTGCAACCCCTTTCTGACAATAAAAATTACTGTGTGACCCTAGGAAGGGGGAAATCCGAAGTTTGAGCCCATCCAAGACCTGCGGCTCGGAGGAGGGGAGCAAAGTCATAGCCCAAGCACAAGATCTTCAGTCCAGCAGGGGCTTATATCCTGAGCTCTGCTTCCCAGGCTTAAAATCCTCAAGCTTTGGCTTTTGCCCTGTGTGTTGGGGCCCAGCAAGTCTAAGCCACCTTACCGGCCCCATTAAAAGAGAGCTGCAACTTGTGACCTGCTTTGTGATCACAATCCACATTTTGAGAAGCAGAATGACCTAGATCTCCACCAAAACCTATCAACACTATCCTATTTCAGCCAGTAGTGGGCTTTATTTTGGTATAATATTTCATCCCAAACTGAGCATGCTGCTTCATTACTGGGCCCAGGGAAAGAAAAGCCAAGACCAGGAAAACTTTATTATTTGTGGTTTGAAAGTACAGCTCTTATATATACTTTTATATAATTCTAAACCTCACTTTAATGATGGACACAACATACAACTTTCTCTTTCTCTGAACAGATTCAGTAGTGTCAAATGTGCTTTAATGCCGATTTTAAAGGGAACACAATGCTAAATGTTTTGCCTATTTTTAATTTGAAGAGGAGAGGCAAATCTGCTAAAGAAGAAAGATATAAAGTTATTTACCTGCAATAAAACTTGGATCCATCACCGGCCAAGTAGCCATCATAATGTGCATTAAGGAGATCCCCCTTCTTGCTCTTTGACTTGCATTCTTCGGGTACATGTAAGACTTCTATTTTAACGTCCTCTGCAGGGGCATCCTCTTTCATTTGTGCCTGCGTGTGGATCGTAAGAAGACCAAAAGCCTGCAAGAAAACAACTAATTTGACTCCGAAAGTCATACTTGCTAAAGCTCTCCCTTGCAGCCTTGTGCTGATTCAGGTTCTTCGTGCAGCCTCACGAGTAAGAGCCCTCCCCCCCCTCGGGCTGGCTGCGTGGCATTGTTCGACGTCAGGCTGCTCTCACTGGGGCGTGTACTTCTCTGAGCTGCAGCGCTGCACGGTCGAGGTCTGTGGGCTTGGCCAGGGAGCTGCGGCCCGCCCTCTTGCTCCTCCCCCATGGACAATTGTGAACGCCTGCAGAAAAGTGCGTGCTCGGTGCAGTCAGTCTCGTGTGCTCGCGGCGGGATCTGCCCAGAACGTCGGACTCTCTCTTGAGACCGCTTCGCTTCCCTCCCGGGCAGTGTTTCAAGGGCTCCCTGGGGGCGCGACTGCGGCTCTGCACCACCTCCGGGGAGAGGAGACGGATTTTGCAGGGCGTGCGGCTTCCAGTCTCTCCGCTGGTGCTGCTGGGGGATTGGGCGGTCTCGCAGGGAGCGGGGTATTCAGTGTATATGTGAGCGTCCCTCCCCTCTCCCCGGAGCTGGCTCTGTCTGCATCGTCCCTCCCGTAGGGTGGAGGGATTGGGGGTGCGCGTTTCCACAGAGGCTGTTGCCCCATTTTCCTTCTCGTGCTTTGGCCGAAGGGGGCAGAAACGAAGCGAGGCCGCTCGTGCCATATCCCTGCGTGGCGGGGTGGGGGACGGGCCCCGGGGCCCCTGCCGAAAGCGTGGCTGGGCTGCGGGGCGAGGGAGGGGGGGGGC